CTGCACATGCAGTTTATTTGCACTTATTGCTGCACATGCAGTTTATTTGCACTTATTGCTGCACATGCAGTTTATTTGCACTTATTGCTGCACATGCAGTTTATTTGCACTTATTGCTGCACTTGCAGTTTATTTGCATTTTATACTTCAAAATTTGGATATAGAATGCGTAGAAGTAAACGATAAAAGAAATGAAAATAATTAAAATGAATTTACAATAAAAGAAATCATACCGAAGAGCAATTTCGATCTTCTTTGCAAATATTAATGATGTGATGCTTCAGATGTCGCTTCAAATCTGCATCTTCCTGAAATTTTCCATCTTTCAAAATATTGAATTTTAATTTATTAATGTGCTCGCTCTCTTTCTCCCTCCCCTGGAAATTTTTATAATAATTTTAAACTATAAAATATTCATTTCTATGCATACGGATTGTTTTTCATCAGCTTCTTACAGTTATTGAATTCAAGCAAGAAAGAATTTCGGCATGAATAACTTTCCCTATTGAGTATTTCAAAAGTTTATTCCTCTATTATTTACTCTTCTATCCATTTTTCTTGAGAAATCATTGTGAAAACTTTTCCACATAACTGAGCAATTACCGTTTTCTTTTCTGTCCCTGAAATGAACCTTTCCTCATCTTCCTGCTACTTTCATCCTTCCGTATCGGTCAACTATATTTCTAGATTGATAATATTGTTGACATCAAAGTTGATGATGAGATTAATGCCCTCTGTGTATCTTTTCTTAAATATTTTCATTCATCAAGACACTTTTATTATCGTTAACATCATATCATTAACATCCAGCATATTTAATTTAATATTCTTTCAAAACAATTCAATTTCGCTTTAATTTATTTTATTATTTCATGTATTCAATTTCCGATCATTTTTGATTTACTGATTATCTCAGCGACATGACAGGACAGGACAGGTTGGAAGACGTTGAGAATGAAACGATTTGTTGGTTCTGTTGCTAAGATTCATGCGGAAACATTACATATCCCGCATGACTGGATTGATTGGGCACATATGTATTAGATTTATTTCAATTTTAATTAGAATATTTCGAATTTATATAATTTTAATTATTCTTATCCCTTAATTTTAATCTTAATATGCATTTTAATCTTAATATATATCTTAACGTTCATGTACTATAAACAAACAATTAAAGCCAAAAAAGAAAAAAAAGTGGCTTAATTTCTATTTCAGATTTAATTTCTTCATTTCTTTTATAAAAGATTTCTTTTGACAATTTTCATTCATTCTTTCTTTTTTTTTTGCAAAATTTTGGGATTGATAAGAGGCGATTTTTGATGAGTTCTGTGTTGATTGCCTTTCTTACAACAAATTAGGTAACTCCATGACGGCGATATTAAACATATGTTGGATCATTATATAATTGTAAGACATCTGTACGACAGGGCAATTGATAGCCATTAATGGTCTGGGAATTTCCGCACTGCTTTCATCTGTTTCTATCTGATAGTGAAATATCCTTAATCATTACGGATCATCGCCAAAGGTGTTGATGATGATGATGATAATGATAGTGATGATGATGATAATGAGCAATTATTTCAAATACAGAAATTGCAGAAAATATCGTTTATAAGGCAAAATTTTCAACGCATCAATCAATATTCATTGATTGGAAGGACGAAAATCTGACAAATAAGTGAATTAATCGTTTGGAAAATCCATCAACAAATTTTCATTTAATTAGATAATTAGCTAGTTATTATGGTTATTAAAATGCACATTCTTGTAATATGTAGTACCACTGGACTTCCTTCTATTTGAAATAAAATCGTTTTCATAGAAAATGAAAATTAATTAATTATCCAATGTGTGAAATTCAAGAAGCCAGATAGATGAAGTCCAAGTTTCACTAGTGGACAGAAATAACCACCAATCATTTGTTGTGATGATGGGACACAGCATCAATTAAGTGTCATCCATGTTACTGGGTACAATAGGAGGAGAGGAGGCCTTTGAAAGGAAGTAACACTTCAGGATGATCGGCCATCAATAGAAGCCACAACATTAACAATTAATATTGTTGAAAGTTATGGGACAATCAATCAAACGACTAAATGATTAGAATGCACAAAGGCCAAAAGGTCTCAGAAGAATGAGACTGTATTCCATTTGTACGAAAAGTAAGATGATAACCTTGAATATAACCTATGTCAATTATGGTCCAGTGAGTCATCCGAGACTTAGTGAGATTTTCTGGTTACTTAGACTGTATCAAAAATGACAATTTTAGTATCAACAATTATTTTCATGTGAATAAGTCATATGATAGAACTGGAATGAAACAAAAAAAAAAACTTAAAAAAATTTGGATAATGATTTTAGGGGTTTTTTCTCCAAATAAACCGACTAATTAACTGATTAATTAACGAAAGATATCACTTTCCCTATGAATTATTTAATTAATTAATTGGTTTGAAAGAACAATTTATAATCTAAAAAACTCTCGGGTTAAAATTTCATAATATGCATTTAATATTGCTAACAGTTGCTTTTGCCATTCATTCAAAATTTTAATCGTCAGCTTGGCCAATTTATAAATGTTTAAAATAAATTTCATTTGGTCTGAAAATCTGTTTAGTGCTAATTTTCAATCAATAGAACGGTAAAAGGAAAAACATTTCTGAATGGAACAGCTCGATAGCTTTCAACTATTACTGCGCAAACAAATTACTTTATTTGCATAGTAATCATTGGCCCTCTTCAAAAGGTGCCATTTTAACAACAAACTGAAAAAAGCTATTCAACCACAAATACAAACAAATGCTTTTATATACACTTTCATAGAAACACACACACATACAGAGACATGCACACACACAAACACACACACACCCATAGGTTTGTGTGGAATAAATTAGTCGCAGAAGAGGGAAGATGCCATCAAGGTAATGTTACTAAGTAGATCCCTTCGAGAATTTACTACACTTTGCGTTATGAAGCATAACATTATGGCTATCAAAAAGATAAATATCAATCAATGATCTTATCAGTTAGTTAATGAGGTTATCATTAAAACGAATGGTTTTTTATGAGGGTGATAAATTGATGCGATCAGATAAACGAGGAAAATGATCAGGTAAAGGAAATAAAATATGCAAAAAGACAGGAGAAGGAGTGGAAAAGAGAGACAGAGGTAGAAAGAAGACTTAATTTGCACCGTGAATTCTAGTCGCTTTTTTATGAACGCACCTGGCGTCGCGCATCTGTCTGTCACCATTAGTCGCCATTGGTGCAGTCGAAAAGTGAATTTGCGGAATTTGTGTGACATAAATTAAGCATCGAAGAAAGAAATTTCAAGATCTCAGAACATATGGCTTTCGATTGCAACAATTTATAGACACTGTAGGCAGTTTGAAGAATTCACTCAAATTAAATTTATTTTATTGAAGATGAATTTTTGAGCCGAAAAATGTCAAAAAATTGATTAGCAAACAACTAATTTTAATAAAAAAGAAAAAATTTTGAGCAATTGCTTTTATCTTTGAAATAATTGATTGACATACTGTAAGATTTTTTTTTAAAATTTTACTTTAATTATTTATTAGTACGAAATCAGTTATTGTTTTGACAGATTTAAGGAAAATTGATGAAAAAAATGCTGTCATTTTTCCCAATGTTTGATGAGGAACAAACATTCGAAAATAAAAAAGAG